ATTAAAAATGGTACCCAACTATTGAACATTGAAATTATACTTGCATGATTGGATTTCAAAGAATAAAAGGAACATACAGCAGATTTTTTAATAGCAAAACATGAATACATCGTATTACTAGTATTCCAATGCGTGAACATGGAAACATTTCAAAAGATATAATAAATGGACATAATGTTGGTTAAGTCATAACTGGTTAAAGATGAATTGCAATAAGTGAAGATATAAAACGAGTTTCTTGTAATTATAATGTTAAGGAAATCATTGAAACAATACATGGATATATACGAAACTAAGTCCTCTATGCACGTTTTTATACGACCGCAAAGATTTTACGGCCGTATAGGGATATGAAGTCGTCGTTGTCCGAAGACATTTGGTTTCCAAACAATAACTTGTGTATAAGTGTATGGATCTCTATGAAATTATAACACAAGGTTCCCTTACACAAAAGGAAGGTTGGGATTGATTTTGGGGGTTATGGCCGAAACATTTTAGGAATCAGGGGCCGAAAAGGGGAAAACACGAGTTTTCTGGTTTCCGGACATTAACTTGAGAATAGGTCTATGGATCTCTTTGAAACTGTACCACAAGGTTCCATACCAATAAAACAAAGGTTGGGATTGATTTTGGGGGTTTTGGTCCTAACCATTTAGGAAAAAGGGACCAAAAAAACAATACGTTTCTAATACTTTGTATAAATTGCTTATTTCTTGCCCAATTTCAATAGGGTTTAATTCAAAGTCTTGAATTCTTGGATTTTGGGCCCCGTTGTCAAATCGGTCTATATTGAGGTCCAAAGGGTCAAAAATTAAATTTTATTGCATCACACATTGAATTCATGGGGTCCTTTGATATGCTGAAACTAACCATGTATTTAAATTTTTGATATTGGCCATAATAAGTTAATGTCCAATTTTAAATGTTTAAGTTCTCAGACCATATTCATTCTGTGTCAGATACCTATGCTGTATCAAATATTTAATCGCAATCCAAATTCAGAGCCGTATCAAACTTGAATGTTGTGTCCATCCTTGCCGAACTGTTCAGGGTTTGACCTCTGCGGTCGTATCAAGTTGTGCCAATTTAACTAACATTTATTACGAATTTATAACGTATTATCGATAAATAATATTTCATTCACTGATTCAGTGATTGTTGATCGCAAGCTAACTACTTTCGAGTTTGTTGCCAAAGTTTACCGTATCATGACATTGAATAAACAATCAACACAGATTCATGGAGCACGTACATAATAAGTGAATTGATGGGAAAAAGTAATTGTTTTTATTTTCCATGCGATCCCATTTGTTCATGAAACTTATTCATAACCGTTGTTGAATGATTTGGTGTGTTTAATTTTATTCTTTAAGGTAGAGACGGACAGGTATCCCCTGGTCTATTCACAGCGCGTGCGTTTTGCGGAATTAAGATCGGTTCCGATTCTTTTATTACGCATGAAGTCAAGGCAATCGGTACACAAGATAAACAAGCAACATGGCAGACAACTGCTATCGCCTTCCAAAAACCGGGGATGATCTCAGGTGCTACGGAAGGGTAAGCAGATCCTGTTCCACATGTGGCATCCGTCGTGTTGCTCATGTTAGTACAAACCCGGTGATAAGTCTAATTCGGTAGATCACATTTGGGGAAAAGGGACCGGGATTACAGTTACGACGATTGGAACATATCCGTTGTCATTTGTGAAACAGATATTCCATAACGGTCAACCAACTCGAAATTTACGAAGATATGATTAACTTTACCACTTGGAACTCTTGGTTTAATAGATTCCTTGTGAGCAGCAACCCTCTATCAAGAAAATCAAGATAGGAAATACAAGCCATGGAATATCGTATCAACTGGGAGATATATACTCCGTGTGCAGGCGCTGCTGGAATGTTGCTACATAGAAATGGAAAGTTCACAATTGCGAAATTGAAATCATCTCTTTTGTCGTAAAGTTTTGTTTTCAACCGACCCTCATTGTGAATTTCTAGATGTAAATCAAGTTATGAGGCAAACTTAACTGTAACTGAATAAAGGAACAAGTCGACAAGAGAAAGGTTGGTTCCTATGGGTATGCCAATTGATTGTTGAAAAACTCGTCCCCCAAACGTAACAAATATGTTGTCAATGAAGAAAACAAGCATCTTGATAATGTCAGGTTCAGCGAATTTTTTGTTTGAATCAGAGTGATTTTTTACAAAGTACAATTTATCTTGGATCTACGTTTTGTCTTTTAGTTTGGAATTGGGAATACTTTTGTAAAGTGTAGAAAAGTCAAATGTTTTAATACTACTGCAAGATATATGAGTCTTAGATTGTAAGTACTCTAAAAGATCTTTGGATTCATTTAATATCCACAACTGATTCACGCAACCTCTAGAATAGGTAGTTGCGCAATAACTTTGAAGCCCGGCTTTGACTGCTGATAAAATTTATGTTAATACTTAAGAAAGAGGTTTCGTGGAGCACTTGGAAAACCCAGCAATATAAAGTTGTTTTGAGGACACTTATGTAGTTAAGGTATCCAATACAGTGAAGGAAGATCCAGTTCTTCATCTTTGGTTGAAATGGCAAAGGAACATATGATTATCCATGATTTCCTCCTTGGTAAGTGTCGTGGGGGCATATGTTGAGTTTGCAAGTGAATTGTCAATACTTATTTCATTTATCAAGCCGTTTATGTAATGTGATTTACACACAAACACGATGATGTTTGGGGCTTTCTGTGCCAAACCTTTTGAATTAACACGATAAGATAAAGGGTTAATTTCCTATGAATTTTTTTTTCAAAGCAGAGCATTTTCTAAAAATCCTTCAAATTTTTCTAAAATGAAGATACACGGAAGTGCTTATGAGGTACTTTAAGGTTTCAATCACACTTTAGTGTAAATGTATTTCAGAACATTTCATCAAATTATAGAAACCTATATATTGCAAAACACTTCAACTTTGGCATTTTTTAGTAATTATAAGAACATTCTTAACCCAAACCAAAATTTTATTGGAAATATTTTAAATATTGCCCATCAGAAAAAAAATAATTCATTTATGTTTATAATGTCTTTCGATACCAAATTATACAATAACATGCTTTTTCTATAATATCTCAAAATTAATATTCAGAAGACTATCTTGCTTAATATTTTGAGAGGCGTGATTGTTTTTAAAATGTTGCTATTATTCTGTAAAGTTTGAAATTTTCAAGAGGATATAAACTCTGCGAAAAGGTTTGGACACTGAATCGGTGAAATTTAATCTCGTTGAAAATAAACCATAGGAGTTTCTGGGCATTTTTGAACATCCAGGTTAAAGTCAGAGGGTTCAAAAGGGAGAAAGAAATATAGACTTAAATCGAGGTCAAACGCTTTCTGTCGATCCAAAACAGAAAATATAACTTGATTGATCTTTTTTGGACAGAAGAAGCAAAAGTACATATACACACAAATTCAGTGTTGGCTGTTCAAATAGTTATAAATGTGATGAAAGGAAATCAAAATATTTTTTTTTCATGCTGCAATAAAATAATTTTTACTTCATAATGAAAGGTCATTGTTTTTGTATAAAATGAATCATTACTCATTAAATGAGGAGAATATTATATTATGGTATTTTTTAGCTTTTGTAAGTTTTCTGTGTAACAGAATATTTTGCTTGCTGTATAATGTAATTTGCTTATTGTACCAATAGCTTATTTCATTATAGGATTATGTGCTTTCATATTGTGTTCCCTGAATGTACCTTTGTTGGTTTTTTTTTCTTTGAAAGAAACAGTGTGGGCAAATCTAAGGGATTCAGTTTTGTAATTTTTTTTTTATAGTTTTGCTGAAGGTCTTTGGCTGACACCAAAATATTTTTATTTTTGTACTCCTCTTTTTTTGTCAATCAACTTTAGGGATGTTACCTACAGATATTGTAACCTTTTCTTTTTTAAAATATTTTTGTGAGAAAATAAACAACACATCAAATTATTAGAAAAACAAAGATAAATCTGTATGCTTGTTTTTGGAATGAAACAAAATTTTGTTAGGAAAATAAAAATGTATTTATGGGGACAATTCAATTCAATTCAACTATTTTTGCAAATTGTTTGTGCTAGATATTTATTTGTAAAAAATAAAAAATAAATTAAGGGATTCGTGGGCATTTTTTTGTAATGAATTGCTACAGAAAATTCTCAAAGAGTTTGTAATATGAGTGAAATAGGTTGAAAAGTATTGGCGAACATCCTTTGACAAAAGCTGAATTGAAAGTTGGCTGGTTTTTTCATTACTATTTAAACCTGCTGAATTCTGCATCTCTCACCCATGGTGATATTACAAACATTAAAACGGACTAAATATTTGACCAACACTTTTTTGTACCCATAATCATAATAAATGAACATCTTTATGTGGGAAAGAATATCTGACTAATTAAAAAATATTACAAATTCTGATATATGAAATACTGTGATTTATCTTTATTTGTGGTATACCAATTTTCGTGGATTTCGCAGGTAACAGTGAACCACTAATTTAAATGTCCATGTTTCCATAGGCTTGTATGTATACTTTGGAAAAACCACAAAATCAAATATCCACTAAAATGCAATTGTCCACAATCCACGAAACTTGGTATCCACGAAAATAAATGAATCCACAGTATATTTAGACCATTACACTTTGTCGACAGACAAAACAAAAATTTTAAGGGACTCCTTATTTAGTAGTTTAATTTCAGATAAAAAGAAAAGCAAAACTGTCTTAACAGTTGTTATATATTCCAGTATCTGTTAACAATTTTTTGGTTTTTGAAGAATAACGGAGGCCTATTTGGAGGTTAGCAGAAGTGAACTCACAATGTTTTGTGGAATATTTTCAGTTTGTTGTGTTGTATATTTAAATGTTTTACCACCATATCAGTACATGGTGTTATTAAGTTTGTTGTTTAATGTACAATGTAAATTCCAAAACATAAAGGGGTAGGGGTCAAATGTTTTCCTCTGTTTAAAGGTCTCAGACTTTCCTATAATTACTTCAAAGTCCATAGTAAAGGGAAACATCATAGCATGTATTTAACAATTAAATAATGGTTTATTTATTATTTTACAAGAATACTTAACATTTTTACAAATGTTAGCCATTTTTGAAAATAAATTTACACAATATTAAAAGGATTCTGGATTTCTCACCTTTTCGTTCAACTCTGATTGAAAAAAACCAACAGCTTAAAGCCTTTTTTTCTTGCTTTTTGTAGAAGACATTTCTGATTGCTGCAATATATAGGTAAAAACATATTGATTTATTTTTTCCCTAAGAAGGTCAATGTAAATAATTTAGAAAAAATTGTCCTTGGTTATTTATGGTTTTTGCTGTCCTGAAAGATGAATTCTAAGGCCGTCAGATAACTAGGTAGAATATTTTGATGATTGAATGAAATTTAATATTGTACTCTCTTTAAATTGAAAAAGGGGAAAAAACTTTACAGTTTGCTAAAAATTTGATAGCATTTCATAATGATAGGTGGTATCGTCACATCTATGTTTCGTATAAACATGGGTGTTAAAAATAGTTATATAAGCTGCTAAATTTATAAGAGGAATTATGACTGGAATGATTAAGGTGATTTATATGAAAGGTAGAGGGGTTTGAATCAGAATTTTTAAAGGTGAATGGTCACTTAGAACAAAACTCCCTACTGTGTCAAAATAATTCAGAAGTAAGTATTTTTCTCCCCTGACTCCTTTTGAACCTTTGAAGAAATCCACTGTTGTAACTTGATAAAAAAATAAAGTATGGGACCTACTATTGAAAATGGAAATTATACTTATTTCAAATAGTTTGTTGATTGAAGAAAAATACAGCAGGCATGATAATATCAAACAATTGAGTTTTAATATTGTATGGTTCTATATGTGTACATGACACAGTAGTTCTTCATCACAGAAATATTCATAAACTACTAAGATAGGAAAACTGGATGGGATGTTGATCAAGTTATTACTGGCAAATGTAAAAAATCAATAAGTGAATATATGATTGTTGTCTTTGTTAAGGAAGAGAGACAGGTAAAGTGAATAAAATGAGAAATTTCTCACTGTTTATGCATTTTCTGGCAATTCTTGCCATTGTTCTGTTTGTTGTTAATTTTCAGAGTATATTATTGTCTAAGCTGCAGAAATAAAAAGAGAACATTTTAACATTGATGTTGTTTTTTTGTGTTATACCTGATATGCTACTCTGAACAGGGTGTTATACTAAGTTACCTATATCTGCTTTTGTTAAGAAAAAAGTAATCATATTCTTTCAGCAACCACAAATATTTATAGATTAAAAGTTTCATAAAAGTTCTCTGTAGAATGTATTTTCAAACATTTTATCACAGTTGGATCAACTATTATAATTTGCACTTTCTTGATACAATTTTATGATTAAAACAGTTTTTTGAAGTTAATAGGAGTGGAATCTAGACCAATTCACTCACAATAAAATGACTTATTTGTTTTTGAGTGAATTGGAAAGTCATTTGTAAATGAACGAATCGAATAAAGTCGGGCAGAATTGTGTATAATTATGATTCCAAAACAATCTGTTTAATTTCGTTTTTTCAGAGACATCCAATTGTAAACAATGTTTACATTTAGGTATATGCTATCTGAATTTCAGCCTACATCTGTTTATATTGGTACCAAAGCAGTCGTGAACATGGTTTTTCAAAAAGTAACCTGCCTCTAAAATCTATGCAAGAAGCAAGCACTTGTAATAACATTAACGTTACCAGTTTTACTGCACCAGATGAGCATTTAAGAAATAAATGTCTCTTCAGTAATGGTCAAGCCAAAAATGTTTGAAAATCGAAATTCAAACATTATATAGCTGATCAAACAAAAAAAGGACCTTAAGTGTAACAAAATCCCTACAAGGAACACCAGAGCTTTTCATGAGGTAGATAAATTCCGTCATTAAAGATGATATGAATAAAGTGGATAAAACTTGTGTGGTACCTTGATTTTTAAAATCAGAAGATCGTATTTATTCTCGAATCACATCCTTTTCAGAATTCGATGGTTATCTTTTTTTTTCACTTTCGTCTTACAAATTTGATCGAGTCATAATGTGGGACCAAAAACTGCCAAAAGGGTTCTCCAAGAGATTATATCTTGATATCTAGAGAAAATTAAACCCTACTTTTCAAAAATGACAATTTGATGCTAATTCTGATACCTCCTGTTGTTTGAGTGCTCCAATATCGGTTGAATAAATCCATTCCCCAACATTTAGGGTTTCATAGATGGCATGTCGCAAGGCAATATTTCGGCTTCTATCTAACAATGTCTTGATTTTCTAGTGGCAGTCCAAATTTACCACCTTTCATCCATGTCATCCCAACTGACAGAACCTACCAATTGTATTATTTATTGATTTGTTCTCGTTCTGAATATGCGTGAAACTATTCAAAGCTAGCAAGCAACAACCAATCAATCGAATTATACAATGATGTATATGTTGATCTAATATATTTTTGTGAAGGGTTGTGGAATTTTTATACGACCGCAAAAAAAATTTTGAGGTCGTATATTGGTATGATGTTGGCGTCGGCGTCGTCGTCCGAAGACACATTGGTTTTCGCAATCTAACTTTAGTTTAAGTGAATGGATCTCTATGAAATTTTACCATAAGGTCAATACCACAAAAGGAAGGTGGGGATTGATTTTGGGGGTTATGGTACCAACAGTTAAGGAATTAGGGACCAAAAAGGGGCTAAAAATAAGCATTTTTGTAACTTCCAGACATAACTTGTGTGTTAGTGTATGGATCTCTCTGATATTGTACCACAAGGTTCCATATCACAAAGGAAATGCTGGGATTGATTTTGGGGGTAATTGCCTCCAAATTTTAGGAATAAGGGGCCAAAAAATGGGCAAAAAACAAGCATTTTTCTAGTTTCATGACAATAACTTGTGTTCAAGTGTATGGATCTTTATGAAATTGTACTACAAGGTTCCATATCACAAAGGGAAAGCTGGAATTGAGTTTGGGGGTTATGCCCAAAACGTTGAGGAATTAGGGACCAAAAAGGGGCAAAAAACAAGCATTTTTCTAGTTTCATGACAATAACTTGTGTGTAAGTGTATGGATCTCCTTGACATTGTACCACAAGGTTCCATATCACAAAGGGAATGCTTAGACTGATTTTGGGGGTAATTGCCTCCAAATTGTAGGAATTAGGGGCCAAAAAGTGGAAAAAACAATTTTTCTAGTTTCATGACAATAATTTGTGTTCAAGTGTATGGATCTTTATGAATTTGTACTACAAGGTTCCATATCACAAAGGGAAAGCTGGAATTGAGTTTGGGGGTTATGCCCAAAACGTTTAGTAATAAGGGGGCAAAAAGGGGCCAAAAATAAGCATTTTTCTAGTTTCCAGACAATAACTTATGTTCAAGTGTATGGATCTCTCTGAAATTGTACTGCAAGGTACCATACCACAAAGGGAAGGCTGGGATTGATTTTGGGGGTAATTGCCTCAAAATTTTAGGAATTAGGGGCCATAAAAGGGCAAAACAACAAGCATTTTTCTAGTTTCATGACAATGACTTGTGTGTAAGTGTATGGATCTTTATGAAATTGTACTGCAAGGTTCCATATCACAAAGGAAAAGCTGGGTTTGAGTTTGGGGATAATTGCCCTAAACGTTTAGGAATTTGGGGCCAAAAAACAAGCATTTTCTTATTTCCAGACAATAACTTTTGTTCAAGTGCATGAATCTCTCTGAAACTACTGCAAGGTACCATACCACAAAGGGAAGGCTGGGATTGAGTTTGGGGGTGATGAATCATAAGGGGGTTCAAAAAATTGGGGGGGGGATTTTTTTTTCCTTTTTTTTCTTTAAAATTTTCCATTTTAAATTGGTTATTTCTGATTTATATATAAAAGCAAATAATAATGATATGGTTTGAATAGGTAAATTAAAATTTTTCAAGTTCTTAGACCACATTCATTCTGTGTCAGAAACCTATGCTGTGTCAAATATTTAATTACAATCCAAATTCAGTGCTGTATCAAGCTTGAATGTTGTGTCCATACTTGCCCCAACTGTTCAGGGTTCGACCTCTGCGGTCGTATCAAGCTACGCCCCAGCGGAGCATTTTATTTTAAATTAGAGACAACTAGCTAGGTTATCAATTTCAAAAAGGGACCTCGGTGGCGGAGTAGTACTGATATTCATATTACATTAACGTGTTCTTGTCCTGAATATAAAATTGAGAATGGAAATGGGGAATGTGTCAAAGAGACAACAACCCGACCATAGAACAGACAACAGCCGAAGGCCACCAATGGGTCTTCAATGCAGCGAGAAACTCCCGCATCCGGAGGCGTCCTTCAGCTGGCCCCTAAACAAATATGTATACTAGTTCAGTGATAATGGACGTCATACTAAACTCCAAATTATACACAGGAAACTAAAATTAAAAATGATACAAGACTTACAAAGGCTAGAGGCTCCTGACTTGGGACAGGCGCAAAAATACTGCGGGGTTAAACATGTTTTTTGAGATCTCAACCCTCCCCCTATACCTCTAGCCAATGTAGTAAAAACAAACGCACAACAGTACGCACAGTAAAACTCAGTATAAGAGAAGTCCGATGTCAGAATAGGAAACAAAAGAAAATAAACAAAATGACAATAATACACAAATAACAACAGACTACTAGCAGTTACTGACATGCCAGCTCCAGACCTCAATTAAACTGATTGAAAGATTATGTCTTCATCATATGAATATCAGGCACAATCCCTCCTATTAGGGGTTTAGTATTAATATAAAATCATAAAATATATGAGAAGAACATAACCCGTGTCATGCCAACAACTGGTTTTAGAACAAATGTGTTTAATTCCGATGCAAAGACCCTATAAGTGAATCAATATTAAAGCCAAAATATGCAATCTTTAATGACCTGACAACAGTATCGTAACTATATCCCTTCTTAATAAGTCTGTTATCGAAAACCCTGGTGTAATAATTTTTCAGTAATACATAAATTTCTCTCGCTAAAATCTAATACGTTGTTACATACACGAGCGAATCGTACAAGTTGAGATATATAAACACCATAAGATGGTGATTAGGGAACGTCACCATCTAAAAACGGATAATTAACGATAGGAAATGAAAAATCATCTCTTTTATCATAAATTTTTGTATTAAGCTTCCCGTTAATGATATAGATATCAAGATCGAGGAAAGGACAGTGGTCATTGTTAGTATTAGCTTTATTTAAAGTAAGTCCAACAGGATAAATTTCTTTAGTATACATACTGAAGTCGTCATTATTGAGAGCCAATATATCATCCAAATATCTAAAAGTATTGTTAAATTTTTGTATCAGATGTTGTTTCGATGCGTCTTTGCTGATTTTAGTCATAAATTGTAACTCCTAACAATACAAAAACAGGTCCACAATGCATATCAATTTGCCGCTTAACGTTAAGCAGCAATCCATCATCACATCATCTGCCAATAAAGACTGGCTGCAAACGAAACAGCCAATAAGCTTAAAGTTGAGGTTAACTTCAACAATCATTCAATGAGATAATCAATTTTAAAATTACATAAACCAGTTTAAAACACTAGTAAATACCTATTTTGAACTGAAACCGTCATTTTATATCTGAACAGCTCTAAGAAGGCTGAATATTACATTCTTAAGTTATGTTCTGTCTTTCAGTTTATTTTCAGACTTATCCACTGCGGTAAATATAGTACTGTATAGACCACGTTAACAGTCAATTAAGGTCCTTAATTTATGTTCAGATTTTTCAGTAGCTGTCATTTAACTGTAGCAATCAACAACATACCGAATTGTCTGAAAAGGTAACGAACAGTACTGGGTTCACTGTAACCGAAATGTTCGGGAAATAACTCTTAACAAAAGTACAAGACTAACAGTTTTTAGTTTCAGAATAAGCAAACGAAGATCAAAATGACCGTTTACGGCCAGATGGAGCTAGACCGAATGCACCGACAGGGTTAGCGTCTACTGCTGTGCATGAATTATCCGCCAGGCGAATTCATACATTATAAAATGGCACAATTGGAAATAGGACTCAATTGGTATTTACTGATCGGATGAGTTTTATATTTCAGCCTCCCAATTGTGAATTTTCCATTTCTATGTAGCAACATTCCAGAAG